ATCGAACTGACTGGGGATCGCTTGAGAGAAAACATTCGGCTTTGTAAAGTCTGTGGCGCAGATCAAATTTAAAACGAATACCACTTCCTTTTAGTATGCCCATTTTATTCTGAATTTCGTCAATTGTATCTTTCAAACTACTATTTCAACCCTCTATCTTTTCATAAATTTGTAGAATTATTAACTTCACAAGAAACCAATATGATTAAAAGTTTGGCAGCCTATGCTTATCACACATTAAAACTTAGAAGCGATATTACTGATTTTTTGTAATTTAAGAATATTTATTTTAAAGACCACATGTATATATATAAAACATATCTAATAACCAATCATCTCTTGTTCAAGTTCACATTAATTTATGAGTTTTACTGTCTTCGTATCTGTACTTGATCACGTGATGCTGGCTCTGTTAATGTATTTCCAATTAAATAAGCCAATCGAGAAATACATTTACCGTTTTATTTATTACCGTCTTTTGCATATCGTTAATTCTGGACTATGTTCGATTTCGGAAGTCATTTTGTAATTTCCTGATTACTTATGAACATTTGATTAATTAAAATCCGGTCGTAAAAATCGGAAATAAACGAAGGAAGTACTCATATCCTATGGGAATATAAAATGTGCGATTCGGGATTTTCGTAGTTGTCGTCGCTGAGATGGATGAACAACAAACAAGATGACATGTGTGGTTTATCCAAATTTATCCAAGGAAAAAAAATGTATTTCAATAGAAAAGAAAAGCCAAGTTAATATTCATGAAATGCCATCAAATTTATGGATTTTCAAAATAGTAACCGGGGTACACTGCGAACAATAATTGCATGTTACATGTCACAGCTGTTTGGCGTTAAACAAATCATCTCACAATATTATTATACACATGAATGTGTGTATAACTCCTCGATGTTTAACAAAGTTTACAAAGACTGTCAGACTGGTATGTTAAATAGAAACAGCTTAATCGGTATCAGCCACGTCATTGGGAACAATTTTCTTTGTTGCACTTACGTCACGCCGCCATTACGCCATCTATATGGTGTAATTTTTTCAATCACACTGCTTTCACACGCACTGCTTTTAATAACTGGAAATAAGAAATTAAGCTCATATGTCCTTTCACATTGCCAGTGCTTAAAAACACACACATGCGTAGTCGCATAGTCATTGCATGAACATATATAACTTAATCACTAGAGTCGGTAATTAAACACACATTCGGTATAAAGACACACATGCCCAATCAGAATTCGTTATATATATATACAAGTACGCTTTCCCAATCACAATGGCGCCTAAACAAACACGTTCCGGACATCACCATGGACCATTGCCACTAGACTTGTCCAAAGAATATACTAGTAATTGCGTTTGATTAATTGTTAACTTAATTATTTGAAGTTACGTTGCCCTGTTTCAGTGATAACATTAATTGCAATTCAGTTTCAGTTTTCAATATTGAGTCATTGTACTTTTTTATTATGCACATTAACTTGGAGTACTGCTCTCATATCTGGTAAATATTTAATAGCCAAATTTACATGTGAACGGGTACAAAATAAATTTATCAAATATTTAAGCTAAAAAGTTCAAATACTTTTCACTCTAATAAAATCAATATCAATTTATGCAAACATTTTAGCATCCCGACACTTGAATATCGAAGACATTATTAAGACTTGATATTTTTATTCAAATACATCTATACAATTTACTATTCATCGTATATCTTGGAAGAAATTCCTATTCATGTACCTTGGCTGGTTCTCAAAAGAAAAAAAAAGTCTATTCTAAATCGGATATTTTCTGTAAAATTACCCTTTTTACCACGTGTGTGAGGTGTTTTTCAGCATTGTTATGTTACAATGTGAAGTAAATGTGTACTGTCGTATAATGTTCGATTGTTCCTTATATTGGGTGTTTAAGTCTACAGTTACGAATGAAATAAAAATTTGAATAATTAGAATAATTCACCTACAATAAAAAAAAGGAAAATTTCGTGGTTTATATAATGTTTTTTTTTCGTTAAAAAATACTATCCCTACACATGTATGGAATAACTAATTACACTGACAACTGCCCCCATAAGGGCCCCTTAGTTTCACAGTCAGTCGTACACTGACCTTTCAAAAAATACATTGCCGTGGGGCGTTTTACCGTTAAAACGTTTTAATTCGAAACACTTTAGTCTGATTACATTTGTGTGTGCCGTATAGAAAGTAGCAAGTATTTTTTTAAATGTTGTTGTTTTTACTGAAAATTATTGAACGCAAATAATGAGTCAATACAGGAAGTGGTCAGGTTTTAATTTTATTATTTGTTATTGAATTACTGATTTGAAAATCATTGTGATCAATTGTGAACGTCTCTCTTCAATATTTCAATATTACATTGAATTATCACAAAATATCACTGAATAAACCACCCATCCAACTTCACCAGACAGTGAAGCACTTCCTCACGAATTGCATCATTAAGTCTGTTAAATATAGTAATGCAACGTCCGTACGATCCACCGGGAGCATAGATACTAAGTCGGATGATCTGTTCTGTTGAGAAAATAAATATCTATCGGAATCAATAAAGTCGCCTTGTACGTGTAAGCTCCGTCGGCCGACGCCTGTTAATTCGGTTTGTGACTCTTCGTTATAGTGTAATTAAAAAATTATACGAAATTTCCGCAAAAGAAAGTCACACGCATTTTCACTTCATAGGGCAACATTTGAAGTTATATCTTCGTGAAGTATGTGTTAAAGAGACGAGTTTTATTAAAACCGAACACAAAATGTTCATCACCTGAAAAGGTCAACGTCCTTTACCATTCTACTTTCCTACTTTAGACAGAATTTGTTGATTAATCACAAACTTGACGTGTCGTCACGTGATTGACAAGTTTTTGGTGAAAATTACAAGACTCTATATTCTTAATAAATTTTGAAATTTGAAGCTAGTATTGCTCCATCAAATATCCGTCACAAATACCACCATCTCGCCTCACACCACTGTGTGTATGTAATTTGATGTTGTAATAGCGTCCGATAGAAAGTACATTAACCCTGATACTCAAACTGTAGACAACGTCGCCGGTTTTAACTCCCATTGTCATCGCTATGACATTGTATTTTATCTCGGATATTACTCAAAATCCATTATCGATCGATCAACAAATTAGAATAGTCGTCGGTAATGTGATTGGCAAGGGGTCAGATTAGTGCGTACACATAAATTATGATTCGCACAAACAACTCTCGTCCTTCATTCATGATCGATAGTGTTAAGTTAGCTTTCGGCATATTTGCTGTACTAATTATATTAATAATATTGTTTGATGAATTTCTACGACCCACTGATCCGAACGTATTCCATCTTCAAATGGTTTCATAGATCAACATTGTGTTATTTGTTTAAATAAATCGGATCGTACTAGTACTTGATGTCGGTCACGTGTCAAGCCGGTATATTCCGTTATAATATTTATGGAATATTCGGTTATGGATGGACGGTTTTGCTGACATTTACCATCAAATTAAAAACCTCTCGAGTGTGTGATTTGTATGTTATTGTATACTGTTCTATTTTCAGTCTCGGCCGTAAGCTCAATCGTAGAAAGTGTCTGTTTACTACTAGTACTCGAGTCGCCTATTGTTTCCATGCCGCCTACGTCAGGCGGGCGCAATGCAATAAATAGCTATATAGAAAGATCCCGCACACTAATCCAAAGTATGGCTATTTTCTTTTGACTGTTGACGATTTCAAAGCACTCACACTTTTAGCTAGTACCTGCAAGGTGGGCGTTGTACTG